TGTTTGGATGGGTTCTGATCACCTATCTTTTCTGCCGCCTCAGTCTCTCAGCCACGACCATCATCAACAGGTATCGTACGCATGTGCGGTGCTGAGACAGGGCTCCTGGGCAGACATCTGTGGTGCTGCCCCAAGGAAACAGCATACCCACCAGCTTTTGATTTGCCTCAAACTTATCAGGACAATTTATTTTTACCATATTCTTGCCTACTCCTTATTTCCACTATCTGCATTTCTTGCAACAAGCACCTTTCAAGTAAAATTGCCACATGAATGATAACATCAAAAATACCAACAGATCAGTAATCAGCAATCATGTCAAAGCAACTCTGCTTGAAATTTCTACCAGAGGTACAGCAGCTAATGATAAAAATTCAAGGTTAGACCAAAAGGAAGAAAATTATGAAATCTAACCATGAAAAGCACTTGCTAAAGAAACATGTATTTTGTTTTATAAAAAAGTTTCATTTTTCATAGAGAAAAAAAATTAGCTGTAGTGTGCGTGAGACACAGAACGGGAAAGAGAGAAAGAGAGAGAGAGAGAGAGAGAGACAGCTAACTGAATTTTTAGACTTGCAGTCTTCCAGGCAGCACCCCTAAATAATTTCTAAGTTGAACTGATTTTAATGAAACATTGGCCCTTATATACCCCCAAAGAATTAAGGATTTTGAACTAAAGAAAAAAAATTGCCTTGTTTCGTGTGCCATTTGTTTATTCTGGCTTATCAATGACTCGAGATGAAAAAGCAGATATGCTGATTAATCAAGTCTTATCGATCAGTAACATAAGTCAATGTTTCATACAAATGTCTACAGAACAATTTCTCCCAATCAAGAATTTATCAATCAATTTAAATTCTTGGTAATTAAATCTATTAGCTCTACGACAATAAATGTGGTACTTTATAAAAGTAGTGCGTGAAATTTGTACTCAAGAATTGATTGATCAAAGGCAAAACAGCAAACATTTCTATTAACCACGCTTCTAAGAACAAACTGTAAAATACAAAACATAAAAGCCTGCAATTGTTTCCAATATACCTAGCAATTCTGCTGATTTCGGACCATTAAAACTGATTACTTAATTAGGCAATCATTCAAGGCATCTAAACACTCACAGACAAAAATAGGGAGTCATTAGCATAGCGGTCTTCACCTTGAGATGAAAATTCCGAAAAATGCTGCAGGCCCATAAACTTTCTCGGGATCTGTCCTCGTGCAAGCATGAAGCAAAATATTAAAATCCAAAAGCTAACAACCAAATCAGAAAAAAAAAAAAAAAGAATTAACCTCTAATGATACCACTTATTTGTCTTTTCAGGTGGCTAATACTTTAAAGGGTCTTAGAAATGTCAAGTAATAATACAGATAGTCTCTGTCAATTCCTGGAAGCGTTACTTTTCTCCCCTCTGGTCATACTCTTACACTATCTATAAAATCTGCTCTCTTGTATGTATATCAGAAGTAACTGCCTACAGAAAGGTTTTCAAATTTCCTGCCTGACATGAATAAAAACAACAAAAAGATTTTCTACTTATGAGGAAAAAAAATTAAAAGCCCAGTTACTAGACACTCAGCCACTGGAGTCTTTAACTAAAGGGGAAAAAAAAAAAATCTCTGTTTCCACTCAGAAGGTACCAGAGACAATTTTAAGAATATCACTGATTCCATACAGTCAGGAGAAAGAAAAAGATTCTGTTTTCAAAAAGAAAGAAAAAAAAGAAAAAGAAAAAGAAAAAAAATGTTCCTCAAATAATGCCAAAGAGACCCTATAAACTATCTTTTTTAGGAGAAGGGAAAAAGCAAGCCAACTCACAAACACAGCTTCCAAACAGAAGTCTTACCCTCTTCCAGGAAAACAACAATGAGACTTTATTACCCTGCTACGATTCTTTCATTTCGGACATGATTAATTAGCAAGTATTACTCTTCCCAAAACTCCCACCACACCCTTCCTGGTCTGTCAGCCTAGTTGTTGATAGATCCAAATGCAGGAGTAAGTGGCCCACAGCAGTAGAAGACAAGAATCCAAAAAGTATTTCAAAGAAGGAACACTTCTCTCATATCTTTGCCTCCCAAAATGAAGCAGGCTGCTTTTAAGGGCTTTCACGAGGGGGAAAAAAAAAATAAAATAAAATAAAATAAATAAATAAAATGTAATTGGTCATTTTCTTAACAATACCTTTTAAAATCTGAATGATGCATGCAACATATTCAGTATTGAAGCCTACATGGCCTGGTTAGCGGGTTACCTACCTATATTTTTAGGCTTTTAAGTCAAGAGACTTGAGTGAGTCCATGTAGTTTACGCTGATAACCACCCACATGCACAACTAATAAACAATAAAGATGATGTGAGCAAGCATGTTTGGGGAAATGGCTTTTATAGAAAAAAATCTTTCTTTCCCAAAGAAAAGCGAAAATGTCACACATACAATGATGCCAGGAAACAGCAATAAAGGACTAAAAGAGAAGATGAAAGGAGGGCAACCCTAAAATCCGAATGAATGAAAACTCGGATTCTCTGCACATTGTTCCAAAACACCGTCTCCGAGTAATTTTCCCTTTAAAACGATCTATGTTCAAAACGTCCATGGGAATGAACCAAGAAGCCAGCTGTAACTGAAAGTACTCTGCACATATAACAAGTATCAGTTGATGAAGGCTAGGCTTTCCCCCTTCAACCTTTCAACTCTCAGGTCCAAAAAAACTTCACCCATAGTACAGTACTAATAAGTAGATCTTGTTGATTCCAGGAAACATTTTTTTTTTAATCTATTCTGGTCATAATATCTTTGCTTTTTTCCCGTTGTATTAAATTTAGGATCAAAAACATCAAAGCAGCTACCACCTCGGACCTAACTTTTAGAGAATCAATGTGACAAGGCAGTCCCTGATAGATGTTTCTCTTGATAAACGACTTGTTCAAAAGAGACATTGTAGCTTTCATTTCCTGACCACAACACACTTTTAATTTGCAACAGCAGAGCTGCCAGAGTGTGAGCACTAGCCCACTGCCCAGCCTTTTAGGTTTGTAGCTCTGGTGCCTTTAGGCCACACACTTGAGACAAACAAAATCTAAAAATAATCAGAGTAACAGAATTACAAAATAGGAGCCACTAATGCCACTTTATACAGAGACACAAGTGTCTACTTTATAGACAGATAGACAGATATAAACTTTTCCTCCTCAGAATTCTGGTGTGTGAGAAGGCTCCTGAGTGACCATCATTTGCACAGCAAGCATTTAAACCCAGAGAAATAAATGATGTGACTGTTATTTAATAGTAAGCAGAGACAGGGGAGGGGGGCAATTTACACACTTAAATCTGCTGTTAAATGTCGTGAATTATATGACTGCCTACCCCAACGTGTTTTTTACGTATTACTGCAATGATTATTATTACTACTACCCAGAAATCACCTTTAAGTATCAATACGGTGAACAGTCAAACCATCCAATTTCTGCTCTCAGCACATTGTCCGGGCTCCGATTTAAAATTTATAAATGTAATATCCTCCTCATCACAGGCAGCAGCCCAATCTGCTCTGAATATATATTACAGCTTTAACATCACAGAGGGAAATCGCCCATCTGGCAATCCCATTCGCTCCAACAGCTCCGGGGGAAAAAAAGCTGTGCTCTCTCCTCCTTAAAACATTTCTCAGGGCAAATTATGTGCATCTAAAATAAACAGTCTTCTTATTGATCGCTTCAAAGTCAACAAGTTCCAAATGCAAAATTCAAATCCTTTCTATCGTGTGAGAGCAGTGTGTGTTTAGCTCAATAGTCACCAGAGTCCAGCCAGAAGTGTGTGTCGCGCAACGGCTCTTGGACTGCCTTTCCTTGTATTCACATTTGTGTTATGAGAGAGCAGGAGCCTCGGCCACATTACAGTCCCCTGGCAGCTTTCCCCACCGCTATTTCTTTCTTTCATATTCTCCCTTTCCTTCTCTCTCTGCAGGATGAATACATGGTGGTGGGATAAATGTAAACAAAATAATTTTTAAAAACCACACACACACACACACACACAACAGCAATGAAAACCAAACCACTATAAAATGGACATATCCTGTGGTTATGCAAAATACTTTTAATATCTTTTTGTTGTTGTTCCCTCCTCGTCTTAATTGAATATCACAAAGTGTACACACGGCATGGTCACAAGAGCTATTGAAAAGCCCTTCTCACTCCATTTATCTGACCTTTCTTTTTTTTTCCTTTTTTTTTTTTTTGTGAAGAAAGAGGAAAGAGCGATTTCAAACAAAGTCCATTTCAGTGCTTGATTATTTAATTCTGTCACAGGTTAAAAGTAAAAAGTGCTGACAGGCGGACAAGTGAATGGCAAGGTAAAAGAAAACCACCACTGTTTCTTAAAAGGCATTAAGGACTTAAAGCAATCAAAATATCTATTTTTTATTTTTATGCAAAAGATACCCCTTCACTCACTCACCCCCCAAAAAAAACACACTCGGGAGAACTGATTACTCCACAAAGTGTAAACATCCAGAGAGCATATAGTCAAACTGCATGAATAGGTTGAGAAAAAAAATTTTCATCCAGCTCTGTGTGTACACATATATATATACATATATATATACTTTCATTAGTAAGCAGTCTTTCCCAACACTCCCGCCCTCTCCCCTCTCCACCCAGCCTCCTCCCCAAAAAACCCCACACTGAGTTTAACTAATTTACATACCATTTGACTTCAGCGCTTATATAGTGTATTACTAGTAACATGCAACTTTGGGATTACTGCTAAAACCGATAAAAGTGTCCTCCAGTAATCTATTAGTCAAAACTGAAATATAAACAAGTGATAGCAAAAGCAAACAAGCATTTTGACAGATTAAAATATACATATATATATTTAAAGGAATTATACATCGTAAGCATCTGCTTCCCAAGGAGAGTCCTTAATGGTTTTTATCATGCTATTTAATTTGTCTTTCCTATTTAGATGCAAAGGTAGTAAATTCCAAAACTGACGTACCATAAACACTGGTGCTACTGATCATTTCTTGCTGGCAGCACAAAAAGCTGAATTGGATTTCTCACAAGCAGGAATTCCAAAGGTTGCTTTTCATTAAAGCCACTTTTCCTCTCAGCTATCAAATGTCACTGCCTTGAAACGTGGGCCCTTTCGTCAGGTATTCATTTAACCTACATGCATATAATTAAGGGGGAAAGCAACATCAACAAAAAGGGGATCTCAGATCACAGGAGAAGAAAGAAAGGAAAAAAAGCACATGACCAGGAATGCAAGTCCATGTCAATTTCACTCACTCCCATTGAAACTAACAAGAGCTCCGGGGAGGACGGTAATAGGATCAGTGGATTGTATATACCATTAAATTATACATCTTTCTCTCCCGTTCCTTGCCAACAATACGCCCACCACGCTGTACCCCCTCCAAGATGATGTGCTTACATTTTTCTGCAACCGATCTTCTGACATTTTCCCGTTCCCCCAGCCACGAGACTGTAATTTAACCTCAACTTTTTTGTGTGAGCAAGATTCTTATTTACACTTCTTATTTACTTAGAAGTTAGTTCCCGAAGAAAGTCTAGCCCCACCCTATGGCTCCGCTTTCTTATTTTTTTTTTTATTTTTGAAGTAAAAAGATAGTAGTAAGTAAGCCCAATATAGCGGAAAACGAGATTCTTGCTATCGCGAACTCTTAATCCAATACTATTGTTACAATGATTAAGCAGCAAAAATATGCATTATAATGTTTCAGGGCTACTTTGTACAGAGAAATTAGACAGCAGGTTGGCATACAGAATAGAAGCGAGTGCAAATCAAATTTAACGTGTACGGCACAACTCGGGGATCTCTTTTTTGGGGGGATCTTGGATTTATTTATATTCTTAAAAAATAAAACAAACAAAAAACAAAAACAAATTTAAACAGATGGTAGAAAACTACGAAGCTCCTCTTACCTGAACGCGCGGAGCAAAAACCCGATAGGTTAGCGTAGCATCGATCCGCTGTGTTTGCTGATGAATGGAAGCTAGGGTTAAGTGAAGGTGCCTATGATTTGAAATCATTCCAAGTTTTTGAAGGGAAGACGGACTGCAGCCTCTGCCATGTTGGAATTTCAAACCCAAAACAGCTGCTTGGAAGGAGCCAGCATGCCAGAGGCTGGGCGCAGGCGCAGAGCGCCGCCGAGCCAAATTCAAATCACTTTCACACTAAGAGCCAAAGATCAGTTTTCAAAGGAGAGAGGGAGAAAGAGACGCAGGCTGCCGAGAGGGAGAGGAGACGGGAGGCAGTGGCGAGAGGCGGGCAGTGGAGAGAGACGGGCAGCGGGAGCACCGGGAGGGAGAGGGAGAGGCGCACGGAGCCCGCGGAGCTGGAGGGGGAGGCAGGGAGGCGGGAGGCGAGCGGGCGAGCGAGCGAGAGACGCGCCAGAGATTCATGGGCAGGGAGGGCTCAATGGCCGCGCCGCGCCGGCCGGCCGGCCGCTCGGGTCATGTTACACGGCCGGGGCCGCGGCGGCCGCCCAGCCTCGCCGCCGCGCTCACGCGGCCCGGAGGGGGCCCCGAGGTCATGGCGACCCGCGCGGGGGCCCGCAGCCCCGAGCGGCCCTGCCTGGGGGAAGGGGAGCACTGCCCTGGGGGGCGGGGGGCGGGAGGGAGAAAGGGGCCTTTCTTTCCCACGCGTGGCCGGCCGGCCTGCGAGGGCCCGGGACCCGGCTGCGCGGCTCTGGCGCCCGCGGGCCCCTCCCTGCCCGCCCCCGGCCCTCCCGACAGCTGCGGCGGGCCCACCCTTCCCCACGCGGCCACGACTCCGCACGCAGGACAGGGTCTGGCCCGGGGAGCCGGGACCTCACCCGCACTCTCCCCTGGGCCCCCAACACCGGCCAGAAAATGACTTCATCTGCCAAGAAGAGGCAACTTCGGGGGGGAAATCCGAATTAAGCCAGTTCCCCTCCCCCGCCTCCTTGTGAATAAATAAAATCCTAAGTGTCTAGGTGTGCGGTCCACTCTGGCGCTCCCGGGCTCCCCTCCCTACCTCCCCCAGGCGGCTCGGGCTGGGGAAAGCAGCGCCTGGGGGCCCCCGGTGCGGGCTGCTGGTGCGCCAGCATAGACGTTAGGCTCCTGCTTTCCCAACCCCCTTCTCTGGAGCAAGCTGGGGACCCAGGAGTGGGAAGTGAGTAGGGGCTTTGTGGTGCTGGGAGCTGAGGAAGAATGAAATGTGCAGTTGAGTGTGTTGCTCGCATCCCAGGGAGCAATGCAGTGCTGATTGTCTGTTGCTGAGATAGCCTTTTGTTCGGAACATAAGGTTTAAGAAACACACACACGTTTTCTGGGGTCTCTTGTTAGATGTAAATGTGCTGCATCCAGACGCTTACTATGCAGTGTAAGCTCAGTTGGTTTACTAATCACCCCGCCCCACCCCCAAACAACCAGGATCATTTGAATGGGAACCTCATTCAGACTTCTAGGCTGCGAGTATTCCCTTCAACCTATTTCATTCTAGACTAGCCAACCATCCAACTGAGATAATAAAGCAAACAATAACATTTGATCATGATGTCTACGAGATAATGTGCCCGGCAAAGTTCTTTAGGAATTGTAATGAGAAAGTGAGTGAGTGAGGTAATAATTTCTCTTCGTTTTCATTAAATATGACTTTAATAGATTAATGGTAAGTTTATACTTTGGCCTGGTGGACATCCAGTCCACTCCATTTCAACTCCGCTGAGAATGAAAGGGACAAATTATATATTCGACCAGGAGCCCATGAGCGTGAAAATGTTACCTTCGAAGGTTGGAAACGAAAATATACTTGTTTAGGACTGACCCTCCTCAAAACTGTCCACATTTCCCCCTGCTTCTCTGCTATAGATTTAATAGACTAAATAGCAGCTCTCCAGATGATGAAATGCAGCCTTTAAAAAATACCACACATATACTTTGAAATTAATTTCATTCTTCTTTTGTGATTTTCTTACCTGTGAATGGATAGCCATTGAATGGATGCATTTAGCTAACACAATGAGAAAGAAAAATTATTTTAGTTAAATCTGGGCGGATGACAGAATCTAAAAGACAAAAAGAAGTGATTCAAGATCGTACCAAATATTTCTAAAGAATGAGATTTCTATTTGGAATGGGTTTGACCTTTCTGTGCATTTTTTTAAAACCGGGCTTCAAAATAAAACAGAAGAACTTTATTCTGATGTAACAGAGAACACTGAAGCCCCTTTAGTTATATTTTACAAGATAGCTTTGAAAATGATGTTAGGAAAAGTTGCCCATTGGATTTCACCACAAAGAAATAAGTGTAGAAAAAACCTATGGGTCACTGTTGGATTGAGTACAGATGAATTAAAAAATAACAACTGTTAAGAACTTAAAATTCCAGTTATTGCCCATTTGGAGAATGACAAGAAGTCCTCTGGACACAGAGCAGATGCTCTGTGCAATTCAAGCAAAACTGCTCAGTCCCTACTTGTTAAAAAAAAAAAAAAAGTTCAAAGCTCATCAACCTTTAACACTAAATTCCTTGGCTTGGATTTACAGTTCCTTATGTAAACAGAATTACCGAATAAAAAATATATGCTGGAATATCCACTGAGTAAAAAAAGAAAAAAAATGATTTTCATGATCAAATTAAAGCAATTTATTTTCAATATCTAAAAAACAGAATAAGCCCTGCTTTTAAAAGGAGGCAAGGGAAAGTGTGGTTAGCAGTTGATTCATAGAGAAGTACTACTTTCTTCAATGCCTTGGTATATTCATTTGAAATGCAGATTATAAAATTCATCATTCAACATACAAATGTATATAATTAACTCTGGAACGAAAGAAAAGGAAACTATTCAAAAGAACACTCTATGTATTTACACAGCATTTCAAAACTGTCCGAAATTACATGTACTCTGGGGGGGAAAATATTTACATAACAGAATATACATTGTGGGATTTGCACGACTATGGAGGTGGTCATCCTACTTTTTCCAGCTTTTTTTTTTTTTTTTTTAAGGTGTGGATAAAGGGAAAAAGGTTGCTTTTCTCCAGTGACTTTTTTTTTTTGGCAAAGGAAGATGAAACTTGACTTTGTTTCTCAAAAAGATGCATTCTTTGTAAAATTAGCACAATCTGTATGGTCTTTGTTGTTGTAATAAAATGATCTTTAATGATGTCGTATGAGGAACATTTTTTTCTTTATTTTTTTAATTTTTTTTTTTTTAATTTCTAGGCGAGAGAGAGAGAGTGTGAGCAGGAAAAGGGTCAGAGAGAGAGTGAGACACAGACTCCAAAACAGGCTCCAGGCCCTGAGCTGGCAGTCAGCACAGAGCCCAACGCGGGGCTCGAACCCACGAACCGCGAGATCATGACCTAAGCGAAAGTCAGACACTTAACCAACTAAGCCACCCAGGTGCCCCGGTATGAGGAACATTTTAATAGTCACCTTATTGTATCCACATTTATTTTTAAAACTTTTATTCAAAAGAAATGTTTCTGGTTGTAACTGACATCCATCTCTACAATGTTCTTTATGAAGCTTTCCATGTGACAACATGAGAATAAGAAATTGAGTCTCTGAAGAAAGTGGATTGGCTAGTCAAGAAAATCGTTAATTCTGTGAATTTCTTTCTTTCTTTTATTTTAATTTCTTCTTCATGTAGAGAGAACAAATATAATGAATTTCTGATAGTGTATACTGACTTGAGCTTTTTAAGTAAGCCCACCCAAAAATAATAAGCATCATTATTCTTTTTTTTCCCCCTTCAGGAAAAGTGTGTGTGTGTGTGTGTGTGTGTGTGTGCGTGCGTGTGTGTGTGTGTTCCTCTCAAGCTAATTCAGGGAGGAAAGATTGTACCACTTTTCCATTCTTATTCTCGATATACAATAAGCAACAGCAATCAAAGTGGAGGGTAAGAAAATAAGCAAGGTGATATTGGATGTGGTGTGCAGATGACCGTATTCTGCTGTCCCTGGACTAAGGATAATCTGACCCAGGTTAGACACAGACATGTGTACCTATGTGACAGAAGAAAAAAAGAAAAGAAAAATATGAGGGTAAACAGAGCAGAGCAAAGATAAGAAAATGAGGGTAACAAGATGCTTTAAAGACAAAAAGAAGTTTGGGTGGCTATAATGTTGAGTTTTTCATGAAATGCTAAACACAATTCAATTTATAAATTCTGTTTTTTAGTTTCAAATTCAATTATTAACTATTTTAATAAAACATTAAACTAGTAATATCTCCTTCCAAATGATCCTGTTTCCGAAACATTCCATAACTTACTTTTTGTTTTCATTGTTTTTATATCGCTCACAAAATCTAAAGTAGATCTTATCATAATGCAAATTACTGGTATAATAATTTTTTATGCTTGCATAAAATTGGCTTATTTAAGGATCTTCATTTGTACTTCAATTCAACTAAGAATACTAAAAAATTCTTATGCCCCTCCCTACCCCCCCAAAAAAACTAGTGAAAACCCTGACCTCATTTTAGTAAAATTACTCAGTTTATTAGATTTACACTTGAATACAGGTACTGTCAAACGGTATTAGAGTAGTCCATATATCTCCTCGGTGACCTAGCCGTACAAGAAGGAGATAACAGGAAAATCTTGTGAGAGATGTTTTCTTGGTTATGCAAAAGTGTTTTCTTCTAAAAAATTTTTAATGTCTATTTATTTGAGAGAGAGAGAGAGAGAGCAGGAGCAGGGGAGGGGCAGAGTGAGGGAGACAGAACCAAAGCAGGCTCCAGGCCCTGAGCTGTCAGCACAGAACCCAATCCAGGGCTTGAACCCCACAATCCGTGGCATCATGACGTGAGCCGAAGTCAGACGCTCAATTGACTAAGCCACTCAGGCATCCCAAAAGTGTTTTCTCCTAATAACTTGAGGATTGCACATTTTCACTCACTCTTTTTTTTTTAAATGTTTATTTATTTTTGAGACTAAGATAGGCAAGATCCAGCGGGGGAGGGGCAGAGAGAGAGAGGGAGACTCGCAATCCAAAGCAGGCTCCAAGCTCTGAGCTGTCAGCCCAGAGCCCGACAGCGACGCGGGGCTCAAACCCACCAACCCTGACATTATGACCTGAGCCAAAGTTAGATGATTAATCAACTGAG